AAAAAAAAAAAAAAAAAAAAAAACAGATGAGGGGATGAAGACCTCATGGAGGATGAAAAGCTCGCGAGCTCTGCACGTCTCACATGCAGACGAAGAGCTCGAGAAGGTGCAGTGCGATATGCATTGTGCAGACAAACTGCTTCCAGAGTGCGGACGAGGGCCTCGAGGCTACTGCTAGCCAAGAAACCGAGGAAAATGAGGAATAATGAGCGGAAAATTGAAATCCAAGTGGGAAAAAGGCGAATGGCGGGCAAGAAACCAAAATCGAGTGTCTTGACAATCTCGTTTTGGTGTCACAACTCACAAGTTGAGCTCAATATTTGACTCATTAGTCGAGCTCGTACACCCTTTGACTCGACTCACCTCATTTACACCCCTAGCCGTGCCTCTATAAGGCTATTTTTTAAAATTATAAGAAGAGGTTGCTAGCCCTTTTATGTTATCATTGTGACTAGAGAAAAAAAAATTATTATATATGAATTTTGATGCAATTTATAGATCAAATTTTAATAAGAAAATTTCAAAATCTAATCTTGGATATGAACATTTTAAAGAAATAATAAATTTATAGTAAAAAGAGCTCATAGGTGAAAAAAATGCAACAATATTATCAAGAATATTTCAATATATGCCCAAATAAAACCAAATAAAACACTCAAAAGTATGCAAACTTTGTTAGATCATATAAGACACTAAATACTCTTCAAAACTTAGATACTAGTAAACAAAACGAGTTGAAACGGGACTAATTCAATGAGCCCAAATCACTTATTTTGAATATTATTAAAATATTAAGATGTCAAAAAAATATTATATGATCAAAAAGTAAACTATGATGGAAGATTATGATTTGTGCTCAAAACGACAAGCACAACTCCCCTTGGCCTATTGGTTGAGAGCTTAGGCTTCCAACTAAGAGGTCCAAGGTTCGAGTCCATGTGTATGCGTTGTGTGTATGAATTTGCCTTAAATGGCCTAAATGTCCCAAAAAAAAAAAAAAACTACAAGCAAAACTCCAAAAAATATAGTCTTTAGATAAGTCTTTCATCAGCTTTTTCGAGGTTCGAAAGTAAGCTTTTGGTATTCCAAAGGAGAGTCCCAAGAACTCTACGAATCAGCACCAAACAATCGTTGTCGCTTACAGGGCCTGCTCTCACTAACAAAGTTGAGACTTCTTCATTACCAAATCTAATGCCCATCAAAACCCACTATCAAAATTCAAAATTAATGTTGACACTCATTGACATCCATAACATCAACATTCTCCCTCTCTCTCACACATGAAGAATTATTAAGTACAAACGCCAAAAGCATCCAGAGGCGAATGAGGCAGCGCCACACCACTCAATGCACAGTACATGCATGACGTGACGCCTTCTCATTCGCCTCCGGATGCATTCAGCATCCACACATAATAATTAGCACCCACAAACTCTACCTATCAATGCCCAACACTTGTTGCCACTTACAAGGCCGGCTCTCACTAACAAAGTTGAGACTTCTCCATTACCAATGCCCATCAAAATCTACTATCAAAATTAATATTTACACTCATTGACATCCATAACATCAACATTCTCTCTCACACACACACATGACGTGACGCCGAATGCATCCGGAGGCGAATGAGACGCTACATCACCCAATGTATTGTACATTGCATGATGTGATGCCTTCTCATTCGCCTCCAGATGTCCCCCCTAAATTTGAGAATTTCGAATCAGAGCCAAATTGAGAGTCAATTTCAAGCCACCCTACTTGGTGATAACATGGCAACTCATGACAAGGATTGCAAGTGATAATAACCTTCATTGAAACTAATTAGCATAATAAAAACAAAAAAGAAAATCAATAACAATATGGGCATTCAATTTCTTTCTAAATTGAATGGTCCTAATGCTTCAGTCAAATCATCAACCCAACCAGAATTTTAACACTGAAACCATATCTCGTAGAGTCTACAGTGTCGGCCACGAGATTAAAACTCTCCTATGAAGACATCTTCCACAGCTTATCACAAACCTCAAATGGGGGCATCGCTGGGTCAAACTCAAACCTCTCGACCTTTTTCTTGCTCCTGTCCACAATAGCTGTGATAAGTTTTAAGGTTCACATGAACAAAGCATTTTGCCAACAAGCTGCTATCAAGCATGCTCAAGTAAATTATTATAGCAAGCGGAGATTCTTCTACAAAATGGTGCAAATTATTCTGTGCAGACACCGGACGCAAGCTTGCATCCGGATTGCTGCATTTTTACTGCGCTTTTGATGTATTTTTGCAAAAAGGCAGCCAATACACAATTTTAATTACATATTAGCTGTTCTTTTGCTGCCCTTATTGAGTATTTGAAAAGCGCAGCAAATATTCAATGAGTAAGATATTTGTTGTGCTTTTGCTGTATTTTTGAAAATACTCAACAAAATGGCAGCTAATATGCAATTAAAATTGTGTATTAGCTGTCCTTTTGCAAAAATATATCAAAAGCACAGTAAAAGCGCAACAATCCAGACCGCGCATAATAATTTGACGCAAAATGGAGGGGTTGAAAACTTGTATAAATATTAACGACAATAAGAAGAAAAAGGATACATCCAGAAATCTTCGTTTTGTTTGTAAGATCAGGGATAATCTTTGTTACAGAAGCGCACATAGAGAGTGCATTCCTGCAGGAGAGAAAATTGAACGTTAGTTCGAATCAAATATTATTTCTTCAATTTGCACAATAGTTCTTCGTTGGTCAATGCTTCATCCTGAATTAAAAGTTAGCAGACATGATGCAACGCACTAAATAAAATATATCTTGGCCAAAGTGTGTTTAAGTCGGTTTTGGTCCATTGAGTCAGACGTGAGATTAATCAGCAAAATAAGACAAACAAAAAATAATAATAATAATGTATTAAAAGCGACGAATATCACAAGTAGAGCTCGCCACGAAGGTAGTGATATTTCACCTCTTCTCGTATTTCTTCAACTAAATCCCACAAATCCACTAAACTATAGGAAATTAATAACCAAAAATGTCCAATCTTGATTGATTCAAGGGAGAATTGTAGAATTGTATAAATTCACAACTCCACTTGAGATTCACAACAAAGAAAAGTCTTTCTCGACCTCAGCCAAATCCGAAGGGTCAATATAGTGTGAGGGGAGTTCAGGAAACCAAAACCATGACCATGTTAAATCAGTTATGACTCTTTGCAATGTTAAGGTTGTTGAAAAGCAAATTCTTGAATTCTGAGAGGAATGGGTCAATCATCAAGGGTAAAGAACGGATTGAAGATCCTATACTTAACCAAGAAAAGACAAAATTCACACTGCCGCCTCCATATCTTCAAGTATAAAACAATTCAAGGAAATTGAAACACAATCCTGAGATACTATCAAGTATGTTCCCTCGTATGATCCTAAAAGACTTCACACAACAATAACATCAAGTCTTTATCACACTGTGGGGTCGACTATATAAATCTTTTTTCTCCATTACATTCTATTAAAAGTCAAATTCTCATTTAAATCTAAATAAAAAATGTCATTTGTAATACTTTCTAACCACGTCTTTTTCGGTCTACCTCAAACTTCCTTAACATAGGCCAGATCTAATATATCTACTCTTCTAATCGGGTCATCGGAAGGTTGACGTTCTATTGACCAAGTCATCTAAGGTGATTCTCTCTAATCTTATTTGCCATTGGAACTACCTTTTCACAAATATACTCGTTTCCCATTTTGAAAGACTTCAAATATTCAAAAAAAAAATTAATGTGAAAATAAAACTTTCGTAGCTAGACAACTGAAATTCTTAGGAACAAAAATGTTCTGAAACACAGAGAACCAAGTTGCCAAAGAATCATTATTGGAGGTGCTAGTGTTAAAATTTTACATTCAGTTTACCTACAATTTAGTCTATGAGAGTTAATATCGACTCTTATTATTATTATTATTATTAAAGGGGTTCTGACATTCACCTAAGTTAATATCAACTTCCATAACCCTTTTACTCGTTGATAGATAAGTTCAAGTGCAAGAGGGATAGTGAAGGATGCATTGGTACAATTTGATAAATTAATATACCGTGGATTTTATTGTCTAGAATAGAGGGATGCATGCTGATTCCTGGTATTTTGGGTCGCCTGTTTCTAATAACAACAAATGCTTGATTAATGGTAGGAACAGATTAATGAGACTGTCAATTGAAAACATGGCATTAGAGCTTAATGTTTTCAACATGAGTAGGTAGTCATTCAAAGAAGAAGAAGAAATGAGGAAATTGCCACAATTGAACCTATTATGGATGATCTTTTTAAAATAGGTAGTTCCTTTGAGCCCCCTTGAAGTTTGTCCTGAAAATTCATTTGAATCTGAATCAAGCATGCAACAAGAACATGATATTTCTAATATATGTTCATTTTTTACTTCATGCAAGAAATGGAACACAAAGATTGGAAGCCAAAATTTGAAGAATTAAGACCTATAAACGAGAGTAAGCATGATGAAGTGCCCAAACTAGCCTTAAACCAACCCGGCGGGTTGAAATATACATTTCTAGGAGAGAACCAAAACTATACAGTGATAATTTCCTAAATGCCAACTAGTGAGCAGGAAGTTAAGTTGCTTACAATATTAGAAAAACATAAAAAGCAATAGGGTGGATATCAAAAGATATAGAAGATAATAATCCTTTAATTTGCACACATCGGATACATTTAGAGGATAATGCAAGGGCATCCCAACACTTCAATAAGATTATCAACATATGAAGATCCTAAAAGATGAAGTTCTCAAGCTAATTGATGAAGGAATTATCTACCATGTTTATGATAGTGAGCGGATAAGTCCTACACAAGTAGAACCAAAGAAATTGGGAATAGCTATGTTAAAATTAAAAAAATATTACTAGCACGTCTCCTCTAGTTGGATCATGTATTGAGTATAGAAAATTAAACTCTGCCTCTAGCAAATACAATGTTCCCTTGCCATTTCTACACCAAAACTTGGAAAGAGTAGCTGGACATCGTTACTGTTGTTTTCTTAATGAATCTTCAGTATACTACCAAAACACAATTGCTACTAAAGACAAAGAAAATAACACTTTCAAATGTCCCTTTGGAACATTTGCATTAAGAAGGATGCATCTTGGCCTCCATAATGCTCCAACAACATTTCAAAAATGCATGGTGACACATGATGAAACATCAACTTGAGGTTTTTATGGAAGATTCAACAGTGCTTTGGAATTCTTTCGGTGATTGTTTGGATAATTTGAAATAAGTCTTGGGAAAAAATGTGAAGAGAAAGGTCGTTTTATGTCATTACATGGTTACCTCCAAAATTGTTTTGGGTCATGTAGTGTCTTCAAAAGGATTTGAAGTTGATAATTCAAAATTTTAGTTAATTAACAAATTGCCTCCACCAAGGATAGTTAAGGACATTAGTGCAGTTTTAGAGCATGCAGGATTTTATGGTATGCTCATTAAAGAGTTTAGCACTATATCTAAACCTCCTAATAAAAGACTGGTCATTTGAATGGACTGAAAAATTGTCAATAAGCTCATAAACAATTCATTGAAAATTTCAACCTGTCCAACGTTCTACCCCATCCCCTCATATTGTTCATTTCAAGGAGATTTGCATGATATTACAGTAGCTAATAAAAGAAGCTCGATCATGAGTCCAATTCATAGATCTAGACTATCAAGAAGCGCTCATAATTCATTTAGGATCTTAAATAATGTTGTCTAATATATAAAACTTCAAAGAAGTTTCACGCAAATAACCTGCAAACTCCAAGTTCAGAAATATTAATGAGGCTCAAACAAGATGGGCATTGGGGTGCAAAAAGTAACATCGGCTCTTTTGGTGAGATCAATACTTTTGTGTTGACAGGTTGGTAAATTGCCCAGTTCAATAGGATTAAACAAAATATATTTGAAACTTGAAAAAGCAATTATTCTCGAAATGTGTAGACATACAGTGACTTTCGCATATTATTCTCTCTTTGCTTGACTAGTTGCCATCGTTCTTCGAAGGAAATTCTTTGCTGCTCTAGATAATCAAGTTCGTCACCAACTACTGTGTTGAAAACAAGAAGAAAGAATAATCAGCCATGAGCACTAAACTTAACAGATACTTAAATTTTCATTATCTTTTTCAAGAAGAGTACTTATCTAATCCCTTGACGAAGCAAGTGTTCTATGTGCATTTTTTCCTCTAGTTCGGTTTGAAGCTCATTTAATTTTGAATCAGCCATTACTTCACCTTTTACTTTGTCTATCCTTTCTTTGCATCCATTTATCCTCTTTTGAAAATCTGAAGTCAAAACAATTGGTAGCAAAATGTTTTCATGGCTTAGATGTTTCTATTTGCACTTAGTGATTAAATTATAAGCAATAAATATAGTAACCCTTTTTAACTTTGTCGCAGTTCTTTCAAAGGCAAAAAAGGTTGATGTGGTTGTTTATTGGTGTCATTTGAGATGGGCACAAACAACACCAACATAAATTTAATGAAGGCAAAAAGTCAAGCACTCATTCAGAAAGTAATATCCATTTACCATAAATATAATTATATACAATACATAACAAAAATGATAGCAACAAAGCTCTTCTAAAACATTTTCATAAGAAATGGAATCCTCCTCAGCCTGTGTCCAAGTTTTAAATGCATCCAAGAGACTGAATGCAGTTCTTCAAGGCAGTCGAATAAAAGATTGTTATAAAGACTACAACAGTCCAAGCAGACTTCAACGTATTTCTTTTTTATTAATTTTACCCATATGGATGGTTCACGAAAGATTTATGTTTTTACATCTTATTGTTATTTTTATTTACCTCCTTCACAGTTGTAGCAGCTTAAGAATATATTGAACTTAGGCGGACAGGACTGAATATTACCTTCCAATGACATATTGGTCTCATGGACATTGGTCTCACAAAAGGATCGGAGAGACTTCGCACTTTCCAAAGACTGCATCAGGCTGTCACCATCCTTCCCATCATTGAGCATACCAATAAGATCATTTGCAAGTGAAAAAAGTTTCTCAATGTCCACCCTTTTATTGGTATCTCCCATCAGTAAATAACTTCATAAAAAAACTGAGACAGTTAACCAAAGCAATGAAAATAAATAATCATCTCCATCGACAAACATTTTGAAATTGTAAAAAGTTGAATTTGGCAGAATATAATGTACTTGAACTGAAAAATAACGTCTGTAACATTTAAATTATTATTCTCATGTTTCTGGAATTTGGCTAAAACATATATGATATTTCTCCACTAATTTCAGACAGATTTAACAAAATATGAATACTATAAAAGAGAATGTAAAATTACTCTGCAAGTAAATACTGAAACATGTTTGCATAAAGCTTAGCCCTTTAGTGTGAATAAAAATCTTATCACCCACACTAAATTCTCAAGGGAGAGTTGTTCAAATTAATTTGGCACGTTTTTCCTTATGACATTTCTAAATTTAATGCTCAACAAAAAACACCTAAGCTCTCATAAAGAGCAACACCAACTCTACACTCGTATAGAAGACAACTTCATATAAGCACAACTAAAAGAACCATCAAAATAATAACCATAAAAGTCAAATAGAAAAGCTCAACTTTTATTGTCACAGGGACTATCAACGCAATCTAAGGAAAGCACTCAACTAAGAGGAGACTTCTTATCAAACATATCACCATTCCCATAAATCATGCTATCATAATTTGTAACTTCCACAACATGCACAACATCTTATTACATCAAAATTAATTTAATGTAACCTAAATTTGCAATAAATAAGATTAAAAAAGCTCTCTTCAATCTTGTGGCTTATGTAGCATCTTAATTTGTGAAAATTATGCATAGGGCTATTAAAGATTTGATCTTAAGCCGATCCAACCACAGTTCAAGAACTCAAAGTCATTCGAGCCTATCTCAAGTAAGCCAAAGTCTAAAGGTTGGCAAGATCTAGACTCTACTCAAGCTGCATGTGCCCCCCTAACTTTAAAGTGAATTTGATTTAAGAAATTGATTCAATCTCAATTAATTATCGGTCATCTAAGGGATTTTTTTAGTCCAATATACATGTGTGCACTCATATATTATATATATAATATGCTAGTGGTCATGGTTATGTGGGTGGGTGTAAGTTTGTCGCAATACACATCCATTCAAATTTAACTATATATATAAATTATGTGTACAACCATTCAGATATATACTTTTCAATCCAAACTCAAACTTGCAAGAGTTTGGCTTGATCCAAGTTTGAGCTGACTGATGCTTAACTAATTATTCAGCACATTGACTACAGTAAAATCCAAAATTAATCCAATTTTTAGTAATCTTTGATCTTCCAGAAAAATTCACAACCAACTTATGCACATACATGACATTTTTCAAATTAATAAATCAGCATATTCAAGAGAAACATGCCATTAAACCTAATGGTCCTTAGAAATACACATTCACTAATCATAAGAAAAATGTTAAAATTGAAAATGAGCTTAAAGCTAGAGCTAGATTATGTGGGCGGGTCATATACAAATTGGATAAAACAAGGCCAAACTCCCAAAAAAATCAGCCAAATCTAACACAAACCTCTGAAATGGTTCTAACGATTTTTTCTATGCCCTATTTCTAAACGATGTGCAGCTATGAAGATTGCAGAATAGGAAATCAAAAACTACTTCAATAAGAAGGGAAAATAAAGGAGATTCGAGCAAGTGAATATGACAAAAGCAGCAGACTAAAAAGATGTGGCCAACATTGGAAAACATATGAGACGCCAAGGGATTTGGCATGAGAAACTAGCACCAATAGTAGCGGGGCAAGAGGCGGAGAGATTGAACAAAGCAAGAGAGAGAGAGAGACTAATAGCCAGAAGATCCATAGCAATAAATAAAAATGTAGAACTCAACACTAAGAGAAATTAAGCAGCAATAGAGAGAGGTCTGAGTAGGAGAACAAGAAATAAAAAGGAATGTAGATGAACAAAGAAAGCAACTTACGAAGAGAAAGGAAATATTCTATGGTTAATTATCCAATGATGGACCAAGGAAGAGGTTGAAATAATAGTGCGGTGAATAAACACTGTTGCGAGGAAACTTTATAATGACGTGGAGAGGGCGTGAAGTTTGCTAGTCTACTTGATTGACAATTGGATTAGCTTAAGTAGAAAATTAAGTTAATAATATTCAAAGTTTAATTTGATCAAAATAAGTTTTCAATTGCTATATTTAATTTAAATTAATTATTCAAGTAAGTTTTTTATTATAATTACCTTTAAAATAAACTAAATGACTAGAAAAATTCTTTTATAAAATTTGGATGAGAATAATCTTGCCTACATTTTATTTCTTAGCATAAAATTGGAAATTGCTCACAAAGTATTGAATTACTCATACATCAAATTTATGGTTCAATACTCAATTTTTCTTTAAAAAATTAACTTAAGTTGATGTAATGATTATTATTAATAACCACGTAATTAATATAAATTCAAAACATTTGATTTACAAATAAAGTTCTATTAGCTTGTGTTCTCACATCCAGAAATGGCACTAAATTAGTAAGACTAAAAGCATTCATTAAACAGCACTCCATTATGACTCTTATATTCTAATAGAAAATTTCGAGAATGACAAATGCGCTCATAAGTCACTGACAATTAGGGTTGACGAGGAAGCATCTAAGCTTGACACTGTTAAAAGATTTACTGTCATAAGTCACTAAAAGTATATTGAAGTTATAACTTCAAAACTGATAAAATAACAAGACAATTCATGTTCTAATGCTCCAATAATCACCCAAACCTAAAAATAACACACTGGGTTTTGGATTCTTATAAACAGATTTCTTATGGAAACTAAAGATGAGCATAACAGATGTTTTCTATTAAAATCAAAAAGTGAAAAGCAGGAAAAAAATGTCTCACAAAAATCCAAATCTGTATACTGCTCGTTTTTCACAGAATATGCTATCAGCAGGGCTAATAATGGCAGGGATCTTCTAGTCTAAGCCAAGTTAATACAGCAAAATGGAAAATAAAAATATGATATATCTATAATGAAATATGAAATCGGATAAACACACCCTAAAAACACTATACAAAATCAAAATTTGAATCATTTATACCTCTCCTTGTCGTCGTTGTTGATTTCTGAATGCTCGCGGTGTCGCCGCAGCTTTGATGGATGCAGCTCTCTGTCGACCTCGAGGCTCCCACAGTGAACCCTTGCAGGTGCCTTTGAAAATGCGGAGATCCGACTCCAAATGCTGCTGCGTCTCAGCGGCGTAGTCCGCCGAACTCGTTCACAGTAGAAAGAGGAGTGAAGTCGAGACGGGCGGAGTGGCGACGTCACGTGTATCCGAAATAGAAACCTAGCTTTTCCGAACGAGGAGAATGGATAGCGTGTCAAAAATTGACAATCTGATCTGGATCCGATTTAAAAAAAAATCGAATTTGGGTCAACTCCTTTGTAAAATGGATCGAGTCCGGATTCGAATTTCTGAACCGTTTGAAAAATGGGTATGTTTCTGATTGACCCGGAAACCCATGGGTCGACACAAATGTCAAGTCAATCGGTCATTTCGCAGACTCACAATAGTTTCTCCCGTCAATCGGTCGTGTCGCGTGGCAGTCGCGTCCCGTCACCGTCGTCGGCCTGCCGGCCGCTGCCCGCCCGAGCTGCTGCTTGCTCTGCCAGCGTCCCGCGCAGCTGTAGAGTCGAAGACGCTTGCGAGTTGCGGCTGTAGTCGTCCCGGATTGTCGTTGGACAACCGCGTGTTGCTAACGCCCGTGAGCTACAGAGCTGAAGACACTAACGAGCTGTCGGCCTGCCGCCGTCCCGCCTGAGTGACAAATGTTGCTATCCCTCCCTGGAGGGTCGAGTCGGGTCAACTCTATAAACCCGTACATGTCGGGTTCGGGTTGACAATCCTGACATGTTTGCAAAACTAGGTCAAATTAGTGTCGACCCATTTAAGGCCGGATCAAGCCCGATTTGATCCAAATCTGACCTATTAACCCGAATTGACACCCCTAAGAAGTAACGTGATTCAGGATTCGCGATTAGGGCCATCCCGCGATTTTATATAAGTGAAGTTGAAAGTCTGAAGTTGAAAGTCTATTATATTTATAAATTCGTATATCTATCTTGAAGAAATGTGAGATGATCAAGTGAAGATATAAGTAAAAGTAGAGTTATAATGGGAATCGAGATGTATGTAAATCCTTTATCTGATCAAATGGTGATATAATGAGACATCGTAAAATATAAATGTTATGGGATATTTCATGTCATGTTATATATTATGTTATTTATGTTCTAATATCATGTTGAGTGAAATGCTTATATTATGCAATCATATTCATGTGATGTTGAGAAATGTTATATATAATAAATTAATATAATTATTGTTTTTTATATAATGGCATTTAATTTTGTAATAGTAAATTTTAGATGACCTACTGAGCATGTGATTGATCACTCTATTTATTTATAAATATTTTTAAGAAAAGATAAAGGCCTTGTTGACTAGACTGTATTGATACAGACCATTGACCAAGTTAAGTCCAAGAGCTAGATTTGTTCAGTTTATGTATTATTTTGTCAGTCATAAGTATATTTATATTTTGATGAAAATAAATATAAAATTATGATTAATATACATTATTCTTCTGAAAGCTTGTATTGAAAGTCATGCCAACAAAGAGAAATTTTGACTATATATATTCATTCGGAATGAATATAATACACACAATCACATAAATAAATAAAAAAAGATAATGGACATAAGATCTTTTACATTAAATTTTTAAAAAGAGAAATATCATAAGACTAGCATCAATTTATACAACTTATACTAGTAGAATATATGAATAACAAATGCCACCCTTCCCCGCGAATTTTTATTGGGTCCGGTGTCCTGACGTAGCTCTACATTTGGACGCCAGTAAAATGGTGCCATATAGCGGCCATATTATCACGGGCCCGGCCCGCCGAAAAGTGGGTATATAACACGTGTATTTTTTGAAATATGACGGCCCGATTACCCAACCCTGAAAAAAGATAGGTATCGCTAGGTACATTCTCAGTACCGCTAAGTATCGCTAGATACATGCTCAGTACCGCTAGGTATCGCTAGATACATGCTCGGTACTGAGCAGGTACATGCTCGGCACCGCTCAGTACATGCTCGTTACTGCTAGGTATCGTTAGGTACATGTACTGAGCGGTACCAAGCATGTACTGAGCGGTACCGAGCAGCACGATTTCTTTAAACCCTAAATCCTATATAACATATATAGAATAATCCGCCAACAGGTTGTAAGACCTTTAAAAAGAGTGGGGGGGGTTAACTTTTCGGGCCCAATTCATATATACGACATCGGGCCGATCCCAAATAGTTAAAACACGTGCAAAATCTACAAAATACAACGGGTTTAGGTCGGGTCATCGGGCCGCTACGTGGCGCTGTTACACTGGTGTCCGAACGTAGAGCTACGTCAGGACACCAGACCCAATAAAAATTCCTTCCCCACACCTACAGGCTACAGAAGGCATCAATATAAAGCACGCTAAAATAAATTGTAACTATTATCCTTCATCTTGCAGATATAATTATATTGACAACCTAAATAATCTTTCTAGAGAAAAAGCAGCACGCCTTGAAGGCAAAGAAAGAAGCGTCATTGAAAAATAAGGAAGATTAGTAAGGTAGCAGGACGATCCTCCTTTTCGAGTTTAATGTAACTTGACCTTAAGATAATTGGTGAGGAGACAGAAAAGATACGTAGGCCACTAAGGATGACTAAAATTGTTGTCGGTGAGATGCAGAAGACCATGGAGGTGCTTAAGGATAGTCATGCCAATCATAACAAAAATTGAAAGAGATCGATGAACCGATATAGGAAGATCATGGATGTTAACGACAATTAGAATGATACTCTTTTTGGAGGAGGAGATAAGATGGCTTAAAGGTGATAGGCAATATAGCACGAGAAGGTTATGGAAGTCATTGAGTATTAAATGGTCGTATTCGTTTTCGTTTGGAACAACTTTCATACTGCATTTTAAAATGGCTTTATAGTATAAAATTTTTAATTCAAAATATTTTTTACTAGAAAACTGTTTTATAAAATAGTAAAAAAGCCGCCCCAAACGAAGCCTAATATGAAGCCTTAGGTTTCGTGTGGGACGACTTTCTTACTGTTTTGTAAAACTATTGTTTAGTAAAAAAATATGTTGAAAGCAGAGAAAAAATAGTGGTAAAAAATTATCACAAACAGAAGGCTTAGTTCTTGTTATCTTACAACTTTACCAACAAGTTTCCCTTAATCAACAATAGTTCTAAACTTGCCAAATGATGTTATGGCCCTTTTTGCACGAACTTTTATTACATCCAGTGAACGTACGCTCCTCTACGTTCGGTTTAGGCAAAAAAGCGTCTGTACCAAATTTTTTGAAAAAACTCGGTACAGACGCTTTTTTTGCCTAAACCGAACGTAGATGAGCATACGTTCACTGGATAAAATAAAAGTTCCTTTTGCACCGCTATAAAACATAAAATGCGGCTTAAGAAGAAACTCCTCGGCTTTCTACTCATCCACAACACCGTCAAAGTTGGCATTATAAAAATTTCTTGAACAAAAAAATTATGCAAGAAAGTTATTTTAAAAAGCAGTAATAAAGTTATCTCAAATGAAACTTTAATCTCATGTTTAAAGGACGACAAAAAATACAAAATCACAGTTTTTTTATAATTAATGTAAACAGATCTGCAAAATAATTATGAAAAATAACTGCACATCCTTTGATAAACCTTATACAAATAATTAAATTGAGCGTACGGTAAATAAAAAACAAAAAAAATCCGTTACATGGAATTGTGCTTCTACAAAATAAAAATGGTGTATATATACAGAATCGAAACTTGGTTTTCCTTTTTTTCTTCCATAATCAATCTCAAAAAGAATTTGCAAATATTTACTCCTACTTCCTATTTGACTATGGCCGGAGATGAGAGTGAGAACCTTAATCAAATTAAAATTAAATTAAATAAAATCTACATGGGTAATCTTACAAATGAATAATCTGTCTTGAACTGAATAGGGTTTCACCTTTCTCTTGTGCTTAGCTTTTGCAGTTAAGCATATGGGAATTGAAGGCCAGAAGTCTTTATTTTAGTGAACAAGGTTTCTCCATGAAAAACCCAGCTAACAAAGCTGTCTGAAAATTCTTTGGGGACATCATCGGTGGAAAGAACTGTATCCATTCCCTGTAATCAGAGTAAAAAAAGATGACGATGTATGGTTAGACATCCATTAATAGAACGTCGAATAGGTTAGTCATGGGAAGCTTTTTGCTGTATATATTCAATAAATTCTACATTTGTTTGGTAGTCTTTAGCCGGTTAACCTTTTAGCCAGATTAGCTGAAGCCACAGATTTGCCACTCCCCCGGTCCCCCCAAAACAATCCACACAAAAATAAAGTGGCTTTTTCAAGTGGACGGGAAGTTTCATATAGGCTTCAGTTGGGACGTCTTTCTTGATATTTTTTATGCTTCGTTTGGGACGATTTTCTTTCTGCTTCTTAAAACAATTTTTTAGCACAAAGATTCTAGTTTTTGTACTAAAAAGTTGATTTATGAAACAGTAAGAAAGCCGTCCCAAACAAAGCCTTAGTTTTGCCTAAGAAGTGTTTTTATCGGTTCAAGCAATAAAAAGATGATGCGACTTGAATTTAAATGAATTTTCTTTTTCCGGCAGTGTAACATATCTCTATGCTAAAAAAATGCTTAAGACATAACAATGAAATTTATTTTTGTTTAACTAAGGCTTCATTTGGGGCAGCTTTCTTACTGCTTCTTAAAGCAACTTTTTAGTAAAAAAATTAATTTTTTTGTACTAAAAAGCTGCTTTAAGAAGCAGTAAGAAAGCTGTCCAGAAACAAAGCCTAAATTCTATATTGTTGAAATCTAATCTGACTTCTAAGAAATCAAATCTTGCTTTTTATGGTCAAGCTAAGCCAGTTTAGAAGCTAGCCAAACTCTCAAGTTGGTTTTTATTAACCTAATTAAACAATGCTGAAAAGGACTAATGATAAAAATTATATTAAGAAAGGTAATTAAATGGTCTTTTGCAGATTGAGCTTAAGCAGATAACAATACCTTCATGCTCAATCCGACTTTTCTAATTAAATCATACAATAAAGCAAACTAATGAAAGAACCATATATGTTATGCTATTGCAATGTATTTTTGGCGAATCCACAGACAAATATATGCAACACAAACAAACAGAAAGACAGGACAGCGTTAGCACCAAAATTTCTAACCTTTATAGGTGAAATTTCATCATATTCTAAGCCGTTAGCAACAATCTCGGAGGAAAGATTTGCAACCGAAGAGTTCATGGCTGTTGATTTAACAGTTGACCTACATGCACAGAAAAGCATGGTCAAAGGGCCGGCCATCTAATTGACCTTTGAAATATTATCTAAAAAATCATAAGAGTAATCAAATTACATTTTAATTGCAAAATTTTGATAATAGAATATGAAATAAAACAAAATGGAATACCTCTCAAAAGTTTCCTCACATGAATTACCGGAGGATAATAGCTGATCAAGATCCAGAAAATTTGAAGAAGTTGATGCATCAAACGCAAGTTCAGTTACGTATCCATGTTCGTTCTTTACCAAAAGCCCCCGACAAGGCATTGCTGATGTATAACTGGGACAGGCAGTCAGGTGTTAGTTTTGAAGCCTATTTTTTCTACTCATAGTTGTTTTATGTATGATAACCAACTCAATGGAAGCTTGTTGCTGAAATCATGCTAAGGAACTATTCTTGTTCATCACCCAACAAAAAGGAATACCTACTTTTTCTACTAAATTCTTAGTACATGTAGCAGCAAATTTAGTTTTAGATTGAGAAATTTTACCGTTGTAAACTTAAAGTCGATGGTGGTGAGAATGAAGATGAACCTGACAAAAATCCCATGATTTTGTAATCCCAGATTGTCATGCCTAGTTTACTTAGACAATAGAGATAGCCCACCAAATCTAATCGAAGGATTATGATCAACAGCCATGAGTTGTTTTGTCAAAGGGGACTTTGTAAATCTAGTATAGATGTTTGTCTAAGGGGAACAGATGACTTAGTGCACTCTATGATTCATAACTCAAATATTTTTAAGCCATTGATGAACTCTTATGCTCTGGTCATGATCTATGACTGTTAATCAAATTCTTTGGACACTACAACCAATGGCTTGTTAGCGTTGGTAGATCAAAATTTACGATATTCCCGGGATGACAGAACCATATGATCTTGACGGGTCTACCTTCATCCCCTGCAAACGGACTAAACTGAATATTTCTAAGCTATGCTAAGGTGATTCATCATTAATCAAGAGTTCTCTCCTACGAAGTAGGACTGTAGGAGGGGGGTAATTAACTATGAGGGCTTAAGCTCATAGGAAGTAAGGTCCCAGATCTATATAAACCCTGATGCAATCCTCAGGAGAAATCTGATTAATAACAATCAATCTGCCTTAAGGAGAATGAAATCCTACGTCTAAAAAGCGGGATTCATGCCTAAGTGCCACTTTTCTTGAGCAAATATGTTTATGCTTCAATAAATGGTTCTCTAATACATGTTATTGTGCGCACAAGAACTAGTATAACCCAATGGGAGTAGTAACCTTGACACCAAAGTATGACATATTATATTTACTCCAAGGGTAATACAACAACTAGTTGGGTATAGAAGTTGCAAAACACAATGGCCTTACCAATCACTGAACCTCTATATGTGAAGGCCAATAAAGAGATGATTTGATTTTATTTTATTTTTTCTCGAAGAGTTTAGAAGTGAACAAGATAATAGTTTTCTTGAGGAAATAATTGCGTGTTGATCTATCCAAGAAAGCATCATTTCATTACAAAAATAAACATATCAAGCTCAAGTATTACTTGATCTGAGATCTATTAGAAGGACGCGACATATTGCCAGAGAATATTAAAGGATCTGCAAATATATACTAATAAAGATAGTCCTTCCAAAGAAATTGAGTCTTTCCAAAAATCAACCTCCATAGCTACTAAGCTAAAGGTGCCAAATAGAATTTATTTGTACCGCAACAGTACATAAAAAACCTAGTCTAAAAGCGAAAGATTGTTAGTTTTAAAGCCTCTTTTTCATCTCATAGATAAATTCAAATTACAATTTAGGCATGATGACCAAGTAAATAGAAGTTTGTTGCTAAACTCATGCAAAGCAACTACTTTTCCTTGTTCACCTGGCAAATTTTCTTCCTTGGTTCCAGAAAAATGCAGCTCAACAACAAAAACAAATCTTCTTGGCTAAATTAATGCTAAAGGTGGTTCCAAATAAGAAAAAAAGTCATGCTCCGATTGCCAGGGCACACTTCAGCATGGCTTGAAATAGTATTATAAAAGGACCATGAGAGAAAGATATCAATATAGTATTTGCCACTTTTTGGGGTGAGGAAAGTTTGTGCATGGGGAGGAAAAAGTTATATTAAACAACATGCAAACAATGTCATAGAAGTATAGGTATTGGAGATAAAATTCGTACTGTTCTTGAGGATATAGCGTGATGCAATCCATCTTAACCTAGTGATTTGGAGCACTGTTTCCCATCACAGAAATCAGCTGAGGCCTTGCGTATTAAATTGCATGTGAGAGTTGCAATTAAATTTATTCAAAATCCAAAAAAAAAAGACATTCACGTGGTGGTAAACCTAAAGGACAACATGGTTGATGTGAAAGTTATGAAGAAGTACACTAATTCGTCAAGGTGTCCAAGCATTTTTTGCAGAAGTTTGGTCGTGCTGCTGTTTAACTATTCTTTTTCTAGAACTGACTGTTGAAGGCTATTTTGAGAAAAAAAAAATCATGTAATCCATTTGAAATATAGTGGAATATTTTTGTGGCTATAGATTCAAGAAAATCTCATCAAATGACTTAAATTTTGAGTCCCTTATTTAAGTTTTCTATGCTTTATTTTTGTTCTCTCTATTGCCTCCGACGCAGCTTTTATTTTTACCCAACAGGAACACAATTTCAAAACAAAGCCTTAAGAGTCCAATGATTGAAAGGCATCTTTTTCCCCGAATGTCAAAGGAAAAAGCTTTAATGAACTTGTTAGGTCGGTTCAAGAAACGACCCAACCAGCCCCATATGGGCCGGCTTTTGTTTACAGGAGACAGTTCAAAACGCCTCCCAAAAGCCTTGCCGCCTAAGCAAGTGGGGCCCACGGCCCTGTTTTGGGTTGCCACCCAAGGTGGTGAGGTCCACTAATGGATTTGAAAATTAAATTAAAAGCATTTTTGGCAAGGAGAGAGGGGCGGCCAAGGCTAGGGAGGCTTATAAATAGGGAAGAGAGGGGAAGGGGTAGGCATGCTTAAATATTGTTTTCTTTTGGAGTCTCTTGGGTATTTTGGGCTCTAGGCTTAGTGTCTAGAGATTGGGAGAGAACGATCCTCCTCTCAAATAGAGGATCAATTGCATCTTTTTTATGTTTGCTTGCTTTGAGTTATCTAATAAAACCTACTGTTTTTTTGTTTTTTGTTTTTTTTTTTTTTTTCATTATCGTTCTTGCATCTTATCGCTGTTTTTATCAATTTCTTGTTAGGGTTGCTTGTGAACTCAAGTATATCCGATAGGATTACTTGTGAACTCAAGTATTTCCTATCAGATCTCCTTTATACTACAATAAAGTCAGAAGAGACATAGCAGGGTTGAACAAATTTCAATAAGTAGCTACTAAAAAAAACAAAATTAATTAGTTATTTCATATTTAAATAGCATAAATGAATGAGAAGAAATAATCTTATTTGGTAGTACAATTGAGAGGAACGAATTGTCAATTTCGAATGATATGGATTCAATTGATTGACTTATTCTACTTCAAATAGCTACGGTTTAAGGCTAGATAGGTTAGCAAAATAAGAGAATCTACGCCTTAAATATGGACAATGAAAGGAGTGTACCTGAAAAATGCATCCATTTTACAAGCTGAAATTTCTGGTGTTGAACCAGAAAGTCTCATGGCACTGACTTCATGTCTTTTATCAGACATGACTGATTTAGAAACTTCATTGTTATCCATACTACAATTTGACATAGGCGTATTGTTTTGATGCAGAATGCTTCCATCTGATAAAGATCTTTTGATAAATGACCTGTAAATAAGCAAAAAATGCTCATTTATTGAGAAGTTATTAAGAAACTATGTTCTGATGGTTTTGAATATTAATCACCAATCAATTTGAGATGAAACTTTCTAATACTTAAAATTAACTAAAAAACACGGGCTCCTCCAGCGATTCACAGCAACAAGTGAAGATAGCAAGTAGTTTTGCAGAAAATATCAAGCCACGGGTCTAAACAACAACTAATTTGAGACTAATGAAATTAATTTGGTTCAATAAATACTTATAAACAGCAAGAAAAAGCCAATGCCTCCTCGATTAAGTGCAAGGAAGTGAAGAAATTTTTGTTAGCCAATAAACTAAATTGTTGTGGCACCTTGGAGTTTCAATTCCCAAGTCATTATCATGCCTTAAAGCAATATAATTCTCTTCAGGGTCCAGCTCCCAAATAGCTAACTTATCCTGCTTGGGTCGGAAGTATCCAAGAAACCTACCAAAAGAAATGGGATCATAAAGCCACGGTGTAATGTTTAAAAAATCTGATAGGAGATATTTATATCAAATGATAGGAATGATTTATAAAATTGAGTTCAAAAAGAGACTAAAAAACCTACAAGTTTATTGCTTTCTGTTTTTCAGCATCCATATAGGCATTGCTGTAGTATCTCTGAAGTGTCCGGAAGAACTCCTGAGACTGAGTTGCTGCCTTCCACTGACCCCTTCTTTCAGAGAATACCTATGCATCATCATCATCATACTCAATTTTTTAACATGATAACAGTACTTTTGTAGACTATTTCTGAATACTTCTTCTCTAAGTAGAAAATAAAAATCCAGCTGTAGTTTTAAATGAAAAGGTGTTCGTTCCCCAAACAACAAGATTCAAAGGATGCCTGTTAAGCTCATATAAGGCTTTAAAAAAGTGAGACATGCAATTTTTAGTTGTAAGTTTATAAAAATATAAGTTTCCATTTGATAGTCCTTGATGCTTGTAAAAGAAAGGAGCAAGTTTCAATCCAGAAAACTGAATGGTCATGTTAATTTTAACACTCTTGGCATACAAGTGACCATCTAACATCAACATTACTTTCACTATTCTCCTTCGAAATTTTGTACCTAACAATAAAAAAAATTCATAGGCCATTGCATGTCGAAGTACTTCATTTTCTTTCAGTTATTATCATGATCAATCAGCAAGAGAAAAGAAGAAAATACGGGTGGTATAATCACTTTTCAGTGGATAAATGTAAGGTTCAGTATAGGAAGTTTTTAAGCTTCTGCAAAATTAATTGACATTAGCTCAGCATCATCGAATGTCGTGTAAAATCTTGATTACCTTGCACGCCTTATGGCGTGTTTCAAATACTTTTCAAAATAAATAGCAAGAATGACATGTTACATGTATCAGATTCCAGTAAATTATAGGCACGTTTAAACGCAGAAGATAAAAATGCTTGAAGGCACTACAAATATAGTAGGTTCGTATATTATAAGAGACTTTATATATACTGAGAAGAGATATATGCAGTGCCCAGTACAATGGTGATCACAAGTTAAGAGCACGTTGCTTTGCAGTACCGTTACACTCTCCAAAAAAATTCATAGAAAAAATGGGATTGGGCAGCAACTTGCTTAGGCGTTCCAATCATAATGGAAAGAGGATCACATATGCTCTTGCTGGAGAGAGTATTGATTGTTTTATCTCAGCAAAGTAAAGGCCAATCTCATTTTTTATACGGATTTGATTGGTAAGTGAAACTTTACTCTTAATATGTTCCCACCTATTTATTAGCCTCTGAAAGGTTTCCAGGTAGGAATGACAGGGATAATGGGTCAAACTAAAATTGTTGTACTGAAAGAGATTCCATGTCAACGCCCTAGCGAAAGACCACAAAGAGTGGTCGTGAAAGGTCTCCAAGTGTGCCAAAAATCCCTTACCAACAAACCTCAACCTAGAGGATCAACAAATTTACCCGGTTAAACACTGATTAACTCCAAATCCAATCCAATCAAACACCAGTCTCTATCCAGTCAAACACAACTTAATAAAACGAGGGCCTAAATTTGTGAAAAAATGTGACATGCAAGTGGGGCTACAATCCAAAAGAAAGTGGATTATGCTAATAAATTAGTTGGTCACCATTAACCAATTAACAAATATCTACAAAGTGACCAAGAATACGCCAATTTTCACAAAGGTTTATGAATTGTCAGCAAGTCTTAATGGGTCTTCTCTAAGTTAATGGTGGCCTGTTAACTATTTTGCGGGCTGCTGCCATCCTACAGGAAGATTAATTTTGGCTCAATTTTGACCCAACTTCAACTAAAACCAATTCTGATTTTGACCTCTTTTGAGGGCACCATCTGCACATTAGGGGAGTTGGAAGGAACTTTAGTCCAACATCTCCAAATATTAAGGAGGCTCTCCCATTCATCCTCTGTTATACCATCCCATCTCCTTTGTAAAAGGCACTTTCACCTCCATTCCAGCAAAGCTATGTCAAATTGCTATCATGCTGATGACTTGGGAGAGGATCCTTACAAAGAGACAGTGAGGGATTCTCAAAACCCAACTATAACCTTTCTCCCTCACTACCTCTCTTGTATTTAACATTCATGTTCATGTGAAAAGCTTCCATGGTGATCCTAAGATCTACCATAGCTACCAACACATAGTTATTTACATGGTTCCTAAACTAAGTGATGTCGTTGTTTTGAACACAAGTTTGAAGGTGACCAATGACCTGATGAGCGTAGACCACTTCTAACAAAAAATATTGTGATTTATATTTAGGGTATGTCTTGAGATCACTATAATCCAAATACGACCAACTCACTAGAGAAAAGGGTTATCATCAACCTAAAGCATAAGTATCTACATGGTGGGTATGGATCTCTTAGAAGTGTTTCGATGCTATAATCACTTGCCATGTCATTTTACCCACCTGACATAAGTTGGAAAGATTTTTTCGTTCCCCTAAAACAGGGACACAATCAAGCCGTATTTAAATTTTAAGAGAATGTAGACCACTCTAAGTCAAAATAATGTCAAAATTCTGCCAGCAAATAACATAATAACTATGGGGAAACCTAGGGCCAAAAGAAGCTAAAACTATTTCCTAACTACAAAGGCTTGACTAGAAAAATAAAAATAAGTAACAAAAAGTATTACCTTGCTATGAAGTAGTAATTGAATGAATCTTCCAAAGAGTATGAACTTCTCAAATGGCACTGGACGAAGAACAATGTGAATAGGTAGCTTGAAATGCCTCTTTGTAAACTATAGAACAAACTAAACTTAAATCGGAATAACTCTAACTCACTCCTACAATAAGCAAAACTCTAAATAACTGAATATGGAGAACTCCGAATTGGCAGCGTGATAATAACAACCTATCAAATTTAATCAAGCTTTTCTTATCATTAATCTATAGCTAAATCAAGCATGTCTGATTTCATTTCTCAAAATTGGGTATAATGAACATCACTCCTAGCTAAAGGGAATGCGCAGGCACACACACAAAAATATGTACATATATATGTATATATATATATATATATATACATACACCCATATGCTCCACAAAATAAATGCCTCCAAAAATCTACACCTCACTAATCCCCCGTAGTCGGGATCAAAATATGACTTCCAATGAACCGAGCCCAACCCGCTCGCGAACGGCCTCCACCATGAGTTCCAATCCACGGTTCCAGCTCACACTCTAGCACCGACTCGCCAGTCTTCCTCCGACACTCGTGCACACTCCAACCTGCGACCTTGCACAACTCCTGTCCGATTTCGAATCCGTGACCAACCTGTCGCCCCTAGGTTCTTGATCAACTATTGTTGTCTCCGCTGCTCCATCACATGATTGCCACATTGCCTCCCGGACACCACCTCAAAAAAATCTTGACCGATCTTTAATCAAGAACAGATATTGCTTCCAGCCAGTCCTGAAGTCTCATCTTGATGCTCGATCCGTGTTCGTCTTGCACTTGTCCAGCCCGCCACATTCATAGCACTTCATATTAGAACCACTATGAAGTGAGAAGCTATTGCATCTTGGAGACCGATCACATGGTCTGTAGCTCATTTGACCATAACTTGGACTTATGTGAAAACTTGGGACTTAGGCTCTTGCGGCTCCCACTCCCTAGTCCTTCAGGACCAAATCTCGAGCGACACTCACAAGCAATAATGTCCCGGCTCACCTCTGCCTTAGCTCTTGTTCTGTCCTGAATAGGAGCCTTCATGGCCTGCGACATGAAAACTTGCAACATGGACTGCGCTGACTTCTGCTACCGAGCTGCAAATCCAAGCTCGCCAAGAACATCCGCCGCAAACACCAGCACCAAGCCATGGTCAACCTGTCAGCCTTGTGCTCGATATGCTTGCTCTGGTCTACGCGCTCAACCAGCGACCCGACTCCGAACGCCAGTTGCTTCACCTCCGGCAACCTCTGCCAAATACTTTCTTGGCTTCTTGCCACGAATCAGCAACCCTTCCGACATCGGATGCAGCTCCACTCCCTCTCTTTCTTGATTACCAAAACACTTCCTCCTTCGTCGATCGCCACCACCGTGGCTCTGATACCAGATGTTAGAATTAGAATGAGAAAGAAGAACTTGTTCTTCTTGATCTTGAATGATAGATAGAAAGGTAGAGAGAGGAGAGGGAGAGACATAATTTGGAGGGAATACAACTAAAGCTTTATTCATATTTTTCCTCAAATATTACATCTCATGCAATGCCTATATATAGGCATTTACATTGTTGAATTGTCTTATGGAATAACCTAAACCAAACTTGGACCAATCCTAACACATTCTACACTAAATTTTTCTTGAAACTAGGTTAACAAGCATATTTTTATGAAGATGTAAGAAGGCTACACCCCAAACTGGGCAAGTGCTAACTCCATTTGAAATGTAGCAGCATGCTGATAGGCAATTCAAGTATATGCTTGCCTACGCATGTCCACTAAAAATTAAACATTCGTGTAGACAAAAAAACAAATAAAGTATGGGAGACTAAGCATAACTAATCCCCTAACAAAAAGAGAATTTAGCTAGGTTATGAGCCCATTTGTTCCTGGAATCTCCACACCCAACAAGGCAGCGAGGCATTTCCGTTTCCAAGGTATCCAAAAACCTTGGAAGAATATATGCAACATTATATGAGGTTAAGCGCACACAAATATAAAAGAATCCTTAAGCTATATAAATCACATTATAGAAATTAAACACAGCTTGTCACACAAATATGTAAGCCTAAAACTGTTATTAGACTATTAGTCATTTCAATGTTTCACCAATTACCTTGTTGTGCGCTGCAGATCCACCATACTGTAGTGCAAGCGTATCCCCCATTCTCTCGTAGAAACCCATCAACTCACTAGCCAACGGAGCATCCAAATCAAGTTTCAGATTATCTATGAGGCCTAAGGCATGGAGTTGATGCCCAAGTGCAGCCAAACCATAAGCATATTGAGCAACATTTGTACGATCCAAGCAATCTATGCAGTTAGTGCGAAGGACACCTGTTTGAAGCATAGGAGGTTTAACAAAACAGTTTTCAGAGTATTCAATCTCTTTTTGAGAACATTCACGCCCAATTTTTTCTGATCTTGCCAAGTTATCTTCCTGTATTCCATGCCTAGAGGTGACAACATCGTCTAAGCAGTTGTTGTTGTTGTCATTGCTTTCCTTGTTGCAAGACAATTCACCAGCGCTTTCCTTCCTGTTAAGCAATTTGAGATGAGAATTTGCTTAAAATAAACTCAAAAATATTAAAATGGTTGAGAAAATGCTTAGGCTATGTTTGGATTAAAAAAACGCATGTGGATAATTTATTTATTTTCTTCTTGCAAAAAAGAAAAGATAGAAAACATAAGAAATTTATGTAATTATCATAATCAAGAATATTTAATTCATAATTAATCCTAACAAAGCATTTATTAACCTTATTAAAAATATATTTAATACTTAATTAATCAAAGTTAAATCATAATCACATATTAATAAATAAAAAATTCTCCTAATCAGTGGCTAGAGCGTAGGTCTCATAGTCTCTGAGTTATCCTCAGGTCTAGAGTTCGAGCATCTATCCCCAACTTTTTTTTTTAATTTTATTGTAAAATTAAGGATATTGTTGAGAATTCTTAAGCATATAGGTATATCTAATTCTTTTTAATTATTAATAAATAATATTGGAAAATAAACGACTCTGATCATGCTTATTTTTAAAATTCTTACATTTATAAAAATTGAATGATAAGTCATGCTTTCATTTCAAAATAAATTATATTATTTAAATATTATATTTCTTGTTCATGTATGTTTAGTTAATTGAAAATTAGTTGAAATAATATGGAGGCTTAAATAATTTCTTATTTTATATATAGTTTAAACTTTATTATATTCTTATTTTAAATATAGTTTAAACTTTATTATATTTTTAAGTGAAATATAGAAAAAAATAAAATAAAATGTCACCATTAATTATCAATCATAAAAAAACTATCAATTCTTAATGACATTAATTTAAATGCTAATAATTAACTCATAATAAATCATAAAAATAATTAATTATTAATCATTACGAGTAACTATTTAACTATCCTATGTCTAATAACCCAAAATAAGTGTAATAAAATTTTGATGACCTTTATAAAAACTCAAATTAATCCTTAGATCGAAAAAACAAATAGCAAAACATTGATTACTCTGATAAATTACAAGTTGATTAATTAACCAAAACTTAATTACCATAATTAAATACAAATAAACTTTAACACCCCAACAAATCCTTAATCAGTTAAAATTACTCATTAATTAACAATTATTATTATTATTATTATTATTATTCAGTTAACTAATGATCCTGAATTATTCTGATTGCATCTTAGTAAAATTTTAATAAACTTATTAAAATTAGTTAATCCCTAATCAGCAATTATACTTGTTAATTAATAAATAAACGTGCTTTAATATTATAATCAAAAAATAATAAATAATAATGGCCATATAAAATCTAATTAATCTCTAATTAGCTTTAATATAAAGCTAGTGATAAATATTGAATTAATAAACAATTTAATTATTCTAGATCAAATTATCATAATTAAACACGACTAAAACTTTAACAATCTTAATTCATCAAAAAAGCTAATTATCTTTTAAGTTTCAACAACAGATGTATGGATACAAAGGAAAATTAATCCCAAACTTTATCTAACAATAATGATACAGGTAGCATATACCCTAAGCTAAGACATTGTGTTACCCTTTGAAATGATAGGAGCGATGATGTTTCATTCAAAAGGATAAAGCATGCAAATTCAGAAAAGTTTTTACTACCATCTCAGAATCCTGTTCTATAATTGAACACCACTGCTTAAAAAATAAATAATAACATAATCCGCAATCTGAAGAGTGTCATTGATGTAAATCTATAAATTTGTATTCATCAGAAATATCGAGCAAATTAGTGAACTGACCATGTTTAAGTTTAGTTCAATTTATCTTTGAAGTTAATTTATTTTATAGTTTTCAATTTCAACTTCTGTGCACAAGTCGATGATGAATGCCTAAGAGAACTCAATTGGCTGCTGGTTTAATCCACTACTTTTTAAGGTTTATGGTATTGGGTGATTCTCTATTTTAACTAATTTTCAAGTTCTACTTCATGGGTTTCCCTATTTCACGCCAAAAGCCTTATTCACATTGAATCAAGAATTGGATTGGTGAATAAACAGGCCCTTATCACATCTACAAGCATAGGGTCATGATCAACATCATCATTAGATGATCCTTACTGTATTTTAACCCATATAATTTCAGAGGCTTAAGCTCACCCCAACCTCCCTAAGACTTTCGTTCGCTCCTAGTGCCCGCTCATGGGGGTTGCATAGGCTTGTCGCTCTTACCTATGAGTAAGTTTGCTTGCATACACATTATCGTGTTTCCAGCACAAAAATTGCATTATTTGCCACCTTGCAAGCTGCTCCACCCCCCCCCCCCCCCCCCCCCCCCCCCCGCGCCTCGCACCCGTGTTAGCAGGCCTGTGCTCTTGTCGCACCATTATGATTGTACTTGTCGCAACCATTCATAAACGTTACTGGTTTATCTTACTAATTGCCACTCTCCCCTTCAAATAACATTAACATTTCCCCACACAATTTTTGCCACTCTTGTCCTTGACTTTATCAAGCAACACAAGTCTACTTGACTTACCCTCTCTCAATCCCAACTCCTTCTCAACCATCTACTTTTATGGCAATTCCTATGATTTCGTTGGTTTCCCCAAATAGCCATAAAATTTGCCACCTATTATGGTGGCTCTTATCATATGTGAGGCTCCTCGTCCTACTCACCTGCCATTGTTAGTAGATTCGCACTTTTCGTTCCTTCGCAAAATGTTTTGGGTGGGTTACCAAATCGAGATTGCATCCCTCTCCGTCCATCAATTTCCTTTATATTTTCATCAAGACTCACTTCCATGGCATCATAAGCAAGCATTTAAATCTCAAGGTAAACCTACACTCATTTTCATTAATGATAAGATTATTGTGCAAGCTAGACCACTCCATATTTCTACAACAACAACAATATCAAGAATTTATCTCACGATGTTGGTCGACTACAAGAATCATGTTTTTTTTTTCCATTGTGTCCTATTAAGATTTAAATTCTTATAAAAAAATGTCATTCTTAATAATATCTAACCAAATCTTTTTAAGTCTATCTCCACCTTTCCTAACCCTAAATCTAATACATCTACTATTATAATTGGGTCATCAGAAGGTCAACATTTTACATGACCAAACCATCTAAGGCGACTCTCTTTATTTGTCACCGGAGTTACTCCAACCTTTTCCCGTGTATACTCGTTTCGCATTGTCTCTAAGTGTAAAGCTACTCATCCACTTGAGCATTTTCATTTTTGCAACACTTAACTTTATGCTTCCCTTTTAATGCCCAAAATTCTGCGTCATAAAGCATTGCAAGTCTCACCACCATCTAATAAAATTTTCCCTTAAGTTTGAGGGATACTTTTCTATCACACAACATGCCTAATGCATTCTTCTACTTCAACCATTCAACTTGAATTCTACTAATAATATCCCCATTTATTTCACCATCGTTTTGAACAATAGACCCAAGATATATAAACTGAGCACTCTTTTTAATAACCTGATCACTCAATGTCACAATCCCACCATTAGATCTATTACTACTAAAATTATACTTAGTATATTCGATTTTAGATCTACACAAACAAAAACCTTTAAAATCTAAAGTTAACATCCATAATTCAAGTTTTTCTTCAACTCCCTCCCGAGTCTTATGAACAAGAAGAATATCATCAGCAAAAAACATACACCGAGTTACATCCTCTTGCGAATATCTAGTAAGAAAATCCATAACTAAAGAAAAAAGATAAAGGATTAAAGTTGATCCCTGATGTAATCCAACTGAAATAGGAAAATATTTGATCAAACTACCTTGTGTTTGAACACAAGTAACAGCTCCTGTATACATATCCCTAATGACTTGAATATAGGTCTTATTAACCTTTTTTTGAAGGTCTTATTATCTTCTTTCTTTTCTAAAACGCTTCAAAGCACTTCTCATGGAACCTGGCTACATGCTTTCTGTAAATCAATAAATATCAAATGTAGATCCTCCTTCCTCTCTCCATAGTTCTCCATCAAACCTCTTGATGTGAAACAATCCATGCGAAAATGACTTGCTTAAGAAAGTTTGCACTTGTAAATTTTAGAGAGCAATGTTAAGCAAAATCCTCTATTGATGTAAACGATGAGATAACATTAAGGTGATAAAATAGCTTAGGTCTAAACACATGCGAGAGGTTGAGATCATTAAATAACCAACTAAGTCTTACTTTGCATACATGAGTGGTTTCAACGAGAAATTCCAATACTAACAATAAGATTAGTTGCTATGAGAAGATCCCTCACACAACTCATCCAATTACTAGGTTTAGCGGGAGGCGATAAAACATGCGCTTTGGAATCAATTAATATACCACGAGTAGAGTTAATTCAGAAGATAGAGATGAGGAAGAGGTTTACCCAAAATAAAAAGGATTATGAGCTATGACGCATGGATGGAATGAAGGTGGCAGCAGCCTTCAAACTTTTGGAACAACTAGACAAGCACACAACTGAAAGTCTCTTTGGGGTGGCGGGGAGAAAGACCACTAATCTCCTCAGCGACAGGTAAGCTGCGTTCTGGACCTCTGGACAGCACCTAGTTTGCTGTGGTCAACAAGATAGGCAACAGCATTAACTCAGGGGAACTCCTAAACAGGAAGAAATTGCTGTCCCTGAGATCTGGACGCAATAGTCGCTCCCGGGATGGCTGGAACGTCGGTGGGGCATGCTGCATGGAACATTTTTTTTTTTTTTTTTGGAAGCTTCTGTAAGTTGTTTGGAGAAACAAATTAATCCCTGCTGAATTCTCCTGGCTGCAATCTTGCAACGGGGAGAAAGCTCCCGTACAGATGAAGTTTGAGGAAGAGATCGTGGAAGAGGAACCTGTGTGCACGTATGGGGGAAGTTCCGGCCAACAGGAAGAAGGCAGGCCTTATTTCAATCTAGACTAATGTTTTTGAGTTTCTTCAAATTTAATTCCATTAGAATTGAATGAAAAACCGGAACAAATTCATAAGTTTTTGTATTCACTATTTTATTTCCAACAAAAAAAACTTGATTA